TAACTAATATAGAGATATTTTCTATATAGTTATAAATAATTAGTAAAAATAAATTTGTAATTATACCAATTTTGTAATGATAGAAAAGGTGACTATAGAGGGGTTTGACTATAATTGCAATAATTTTTAGTGTGGTCACTATCCTGAATTTGACCAATTATTATTATGTATTTGCACTAGCAGTATGCAATATTCTTTTTTTTTTGAATATTAATAGTGAGACCATGTCTTTGACTTTATTAAAATTTAATTTAATTCTTTTACAATAAAAAGAAATATTTACAAGGAAGAGAATCAATTTAAATTTTATATTCTAAGATAGCAAAAAAAGAAACTCAGGCTAGTTTATTTGCAGCCTAAACCAACTAGAGTGGCCATGGCTCATCTAGATTTGTGAATTAGTAATTACCGTATTCCTCCAAAAATAAGCACCCCTTTTTTGCTATAAGGTTGCTTATTTTCGGGTACTTCAGTAAAATAAAAAATACCTGTACAAAAAACCAATTTTTTGTTCGCCCTTGTTCATCGTAACAATCACATAATCATCTCCTGTGATTTCTCTTGTCATGACAATAATTTGATTGTCTTTGCATTACCCTTTTTTTTCTTGTAACCAAGATCTTGAATGAACTTTCTAGAAATAGATTATCATTATACATCTAACCAAATCTTGTACATACGTTAGAGAAAAAAATCAAACAAAAATTTTGTGACATATCAAACCTTAACCTTGAACTTAATGAAGAGAAAAAAGCAGTTTGTAAAATCGCAAGCACTGATTTTTAAAGTTTAAAAAAAAAAAAAAAAAAGCCGGAAAAAAAAAAAACAAAAAAAGCAGTTTGTAAAATCGCAGAATCGTTTAACACTATAAATATGGGCCGACCTACTCGAAAATCAAACCAAAGAAACACCTCCAATTCAAGTCAAGTAAATATTCTCAAGCAAAATCAGAAAAACATTTTCAAGACAAGTCAAAAAAACATTCCCAAGCCAAAAAAAGATAACATTCCCGAGTCAAGTCAAGAAAATGCTCCCAATTCAACTAGAGAGAAAATTTTAAAGCATAAAAGTC